TTTGGGTCTGGAACGCACCGCCTGGGAGGGGAGTTGAGGCGAGAAACCTCACAGCCGTTAAAATAAGGGGAAAGTGGGACTCGGAGACATTTGACGAACTTTCAGCGGCACAGACACAGGCCCTTCGGCCCAACCAGCCCGTGCCGACCCTAACCCCAAACTGAACCAGTCCCCCACCTGCCTGCCCCTGGCCCATATCCCTCCAAACCTTTCCCCATCCATGTCCTTATCCAAATGTCTTTTGAACGTTGTAACTGTACCCACATCCACCGCTTCCTCTGGAAGTTCATTCCACACACCAACCACCCTGTTCAAATAAAGAAGCCCCTCGTGTCTTTAAATCTTTCTCCTCTCGCCTTAAAAATGTGCCCCCAAGTCTTGAACTCCCCCACCCCTAGGGAAAGGACACCCACCATTCACCCTATCCATGCCCCTCACGGTTTTATAAACCTCTATAAGGTCACCCCCTCAGCCTCCAGTGAAAAAAGCCCCAGCCTCTCCTTATAACTCAAACCCCTCCATTCCCGGCAACGTCCTGGTAAATCTCTCCCGAACCCTCTCCGGTTTAATAACATCCTTAATATAACAGAACCGGACACAGTGCTCCAGCAGAGGCCTCACCAACGTCCCTGTACAACCTCAACGTGATGTCCCCAACTCCTACACTCAAAGGGTCTGAGGGATGAAGGCAAGCGCGCCAAACGCCTCCTTCCCCACCCTGTCTACCTGTGACACTAACTTCAAAGGATTATGTCCCTAAGCCCCCCCTCGGTCTCTCTGTTCTACAACACCACCCCAAGGCCCTACTTGTCATTGTATAAGTCCTGCCCCTTGTTTGTTTTAGCGACACCTCGCGTTTATCCGAATTAAACTCCGTCTGCCCCTCCTCGGCCCATTGACCCAATGGATCGAGATCCCTGTGTAATCTTAGAGAAACCTTCCTCACTGCCCACTACGTCCCCGATCCTGGTGCCATCGGCAAACTTACTAACCGTGCCCCCTGTATCCTCATCCGAATCGTTGATATAAATGATTAACAACAGTGGACCCAGCACCGATAGTTCTCCTCTGTACTGTGTGATTCTGAGGCAAAATTGGCAGCCCTTGACCTCGAGGCGATAGTCGACCATGTGTGGCATCACAGAACCCTAGCAGAACGGGAATCGGCTGGTTGGGGTCATACCTGGCACAGAGGAAGATGGTCGTGGTTGTTGGAGGTCAATCATCTCTGTAGGAGTTCCTCAGGGTAAAGTGGCACTTAGCCAGACCATCTTCAATGACCGCCCACCCCCACCCAGGAGACAGCGAGGGGGGAGTGGGGGGCGGTATATGTTGATGTTGCAAGATCACGAGGGAACCCGGTGCTGAAAAATCTGACCAGCCAGAGATCACACTGCGGGTAGAGAAGGACTGTTTATGTAGGGATCGCGCCAGATAACGTAGAGAGAGCTTTACGCTGTATCTAACTCCGTGCTGTCCCTGGGAGTGTTTGCTGAGGGACTGCGTAGAGAGAGCTTTATTCTGTATCTAACGCCATGCTGTCCCTGGGAGTGTTTGCTGAGGGACTGCGTAGAGAGAGCTTTATTCTGTATCTAACGCCATGCTGTCCCTGGGAGTGTTTGCTGAGGGACTGTGTAGAGGAAGCTTTATTCTCTATCTAACTCCGTGCTGTCCCTGGGAGTGTTTGCTGAGGGACTGTGTAGAGGAAGCTTCTTTCTCTATCTAACTCCGTGCTGTCCCTGTCCCGGGAGCGTTTGATGACGGACTGTGTAGAGAGAGCTTTATTCTGTATCTAACGCCATGCGGTCCCTGGGAGTGTTTGCTGAGGGACTGTGTAGAGAGAGCTTTATTCTGTATCTAACGCCATGCTGTCCCTGGGAGTGTTTGCTGAGGGACTGTGTAGAGGAAGCTTCTTTCTCTATCTAACTCCGTGCTGTCCCTGTCCCTGGGAGTGTTTGATGAAAGGAGACATTGGAAAGGCAGCTTTACCCTGTATCTAACCTCCTGTACGTGGAGCGTTTGATGGAGAGGGACAGCGTAGAGAGTATTTTTTTTTGTTCACGCTGGCAGCTTTCGGAATTGAACACAACCTGCCGAATAAAGATGAGACTGGAGTCGTCTGGTGGGAGGCAATGTTTAATTGACTGTTTTACAACAAGCAGAAATCAAAACACATTGATACTTGGGAAGCCATGGTCTGGGAGCGATAGGGTGACAGAACAGCCCAGTATAGCTGGGAGCAAGGGTACAGCTCCCAACTCCGCTGTGTTCTGTGGGACCGAGCCCCTGTCCCGCAAAACATCCCCAACCCCCAAACTCACGCGGCACAGAACAGCCCCTCGTAACAGCCCAGCTGGAAGGAGCCGAAACAGCTTCGGCCGGTCTCCCCGAAAGCACATGGACAACCAACAAAATTTACACCCTTTGCATTACAGCAGCGCAAACTTATTCCC